GTGTGTGTGTGTGTGTGTGTGTGTGTGAAAGAATGTGTCAATATATGGCTCTGAGACTAAGGTTCCAATACTTAGGTTTAAAAATAGGATCTCACTTTATAAAAAAACACATTAAAAACTGGGCATATTTTTGTAACAGACTTCCACTTTTTGAACTGTCTGAATGGGCAAAACCCCCACAAACAGACCCAAGTCAATAAACTGTCCCCGCAAATGGTAACCACCTTCAATAAATAATGCATTAAGGAAACGAGCTATTCATAACTGCAAATGGCATCATCAGAAAACTGATCTAATCCTAATGGATCCCGGGTATTGAGCATGGAAGTCTTACAGAGCTGCAGGCTCTCGCAGTCGTGGCTCGCGCGTGTGGTACCTCAGCCAGGGCACACATATTCGGTATTGTCGTATCGAAAGCGTTTGATGGTACCCCAATAGCCAGTTCATATATATCCGGGGCTGTCGTATCGAAAGCGTTTGATGGTACCTCAATAGCCAGTGCATAATATGTATCCAACATTGTCGTATCCAAAGCGCTTGGTGGTACCTCAATAGTCAGTGCACATACTCGTATATATCTGGTATATTCCGATCGAAACCGGTTGATGGTACCTCAACAGCCAGTGCACATAATAAATATTCGATATGGAAGTATCGAAAGCGTTTGATGGAACCTCAATGACCAGTGCACATTCATCCGATATTGTCGTATCGAAAGCGCCTGGTGACTATATACTATATGGTCGTCATTTTCATATTGTTTTTTTTTCTGGGGTGATTACCAGTTTAAACTGCCCGTTTTGTATTCTCTAAATCAAATGTATCCATTTTACAAGGGCAATCGTTTCATTATTAGGGTTAGGTGGGGGCGGCGGGGAAGGGGGCAATGACCTCCTTGAAAACAAAATACCGCGATTGAAAAGGAGTGGTCCATGTATTTCATTTTAACTGCAGAGGAGGCGGCGGGGGTAGGCTAGTTAGCTATTGCTGTCTTTTGTTTTGTCTTGGTTGTTTTATTTTGGTTTGTTTTTGGCTTTCGTTTTTTAGGGCTTGGGGAGTCGAAAGGGGGATGGGATGGTTTCGGTGGAGCGGGGGGGGGGGGGGGGGTGCCACTACGTCTTTAGACATCAGAACGAGCAGATTTTAAAAAAAATACTAGCCCCGAACATGGCATGGAAACATAGGGGAATTTTCCTACGTATGAGAAGCACGCTCGTTAACAAACTCTGAACACTGGGATCGGTGTCTGTGATGCAGAAGTCGTTAAACGCTTTGTTGTCGCACGCAGGGGACCAGAGTTCGATTCTCGAGTGGGGAGAAAATTTATATTGAGTATCTTGGGCTTTCTGCTAATTGATCTAAATTGTGTTGCAAGGAGCGTTAAAAAAACTAAATCCTTAAAGGACTGATATCTGTGGCGATGTCTAGTTGACCAAGACATAGTGTAGAATATCTTACTAAAATCATAACGCAAAGAGAAAGCAGGAATAGTAAGTGAAGGTTAGAACAAAGTGCGAATTCTTTTAAGCAAAATGTGTTGCACTGACGTAATGTGGTAACTAGTGCCAAGGCAATAGCATTTTTGAACAAGGGGCGGTAATATGTTATAGCAATAAACATAAAGGAGAATCATTAAGGAGAGGAGAGGGAGAGGTGGCAGGTTTCGGCAGAACCGCCCACGTGATATCGAAGTCGAAAGACGCCAAAGCGAGGGCTTGACGAGTCTTTTAACATTAATAGAATTGCATCATCAGCACAACCTCTAACGAAGCATTCCGTGCAAGGACAATTAACTTCCACTATCGGAAGAATGGAATCAGTCCTCAAGGATTACTGTGGGTTTTTAAATAATCATTATCCTTGAACATGAAATACATCGAAGTACAACAAATAAAGTGGTTTGGGGATGTAATGAGAAAGGGGCCACAACAGTCAGCCTCCAAGGCCTACAACATGCGATTCGATTACTTCAAGTGAAAAGAAAATCCAAGAAACAGATGGATCGACGGAGTCAAAGAGACCCTCTAGAGGAACAACGTGGATGGTTGGTGGGTGCTCTGGTGTGGTTTGCTCCTTCTTTCCTGTCAAACATCCATCGTCCTTATCTCTCCTCCTTTTTTGTGTATGTTACTCTCTTGTAACCCATCTATTCTTCGGCACTTATATGACCTTATAGTGTTGCAAGTGTCGTAAAATTCTTACTAAAATTTTAAAAAGGAACAACATCACGATCCAAACTGCAACACTCCTGACCCACATCCGACAGTTGCATCACCACTCGACACCTCGTGGTATAAGAGGACAGGAAAAGGTGAAAGTAAATAATTGAGGTCAATTAGCATAATATGCCTTTGTTTCCTTCTCAGTTTTTTTAAACTCAACCTGTCTGTTACCCATTCTCTTATTTTTTCCCCTTTCCTTTATTCTTTCTCCAGTGCCTGTTGAACTTCGATTCACGATCTGCACCTTTATGTCCCAATTACTTTCGATCACGCAAGCTCGGCCACGCAATCTATGGAATTAAATCAAGGGTAAACAGGTGTTATAGTTACAGTTAAACCTGCTCTGACGGCCAACTGTCCAAGACAATCATCTGCAAAAATGACGACTTCCAACTTTTCCCCTTTGCATTTTGTCTGAAATATCATAATGACATTGTCCAAGAGGTTCACCTGACTAAGACGACAACTTTTCACTTCGGCAGCTGTTGGCCGTCTTGGACTATATCGACAGTATTAATTTATCTTTTAGAGAAAGCTTGCACGCTCATGTGACCTTATGTAGTTGCGAGCATCGTAAAGTTCTTACCAAATAGGCCTACAGATGTAGAGAAAGCTTCTGTAACAAGCTGCAGCCATTAGACAAGGTCGGGAAGTGTTGTCCAATTATTGCGAGTTCTTATTTAGGGTTGAAATGATTTCGTTTGCTTTTCTGCTGTGTTTTGTTCTAGTTTGTTGCGTAAGGTTTGTTAGTAAAGTTATCTTGTGTGTGTGTGTGTGTGTGTGTGTGTGTGTGTGTGTGTGTGTGTGTGTGTGTGTTGTTGTTGTTGTTTTTTGTTCCACGGTGAACAACAAAATGAAACACATTTTAGCATAATGTGGTTAATGGTTTTCTTTCGTGGAACTATAAGGATGAGTCTTTCTTCTTGTGTTATTCTTAACTTGGCCCTGTTCAGACTAGCGATTTAGAGGCCACCGTTTAAGCATATTTGAATTATATAGATAGATAGATAGATAGATAGATAGATAGATAGATAGATAGATAGATAGATATCACCTGTGTCATGCGTGCAGAGATACTGCTGAAGTGTTGTCACGGAACCACATTTAAGTACTCACCTGAAACGACGAAGAAATTCTTTGTCAGACTTGAAATTCTCCAAGCACGACTCGGCAACGGTTGTGAAATAACTCGCAGCGCAAATACAAGAATCAAATCCGTCTTTTTTCCGAGGAGCTCAGACACTAATGCTCCACACCCTTTTTGTCGCAGCGTGTGAGTGCAAACACACACAAACACTCACACAACACAACACAATCACGCACGCACGCACGTGTGCACGCTCGCACTCACACGACGCACACCTAAAAAAAAAAAGCAGGTCAGATAGTTGGAACCCCTACATACGAGGTGAAGAACTGGTATTGGTCCCGCTTGCCTGTGAGGATTCCGATCACTTTGACGGTCGTTCTGCCATCTCCCAGCCTGGCCCGTCGGAGTGAGCGGTGGGGAGTGTTTCACAGTGTGTGGGGTGAGTGCACAGACTCTGGTGGTGAGGTGCTGCGCGCGTGCGCGGGGAGAGAACGCTACGAGGTGTACGAAAGAAAGTCGGGGGAAAGGGAGTTGGGAGAGAGAGAGAGAGAGAGAGAGAGAGAGAGAGAGAGAGAGAGAGAGAGAGAGAGAGAGAGAGAGAGAGAAAGAGAGAGAGAGAGAGAGGACATTTTTTTAATTTGAAAACGTTTTATGGCCTCATTGTCACAGACAGACAGACATGTAAAACAGGAGGGAAGATAATACAAAAGAAGGGAGAGGGGAGTCAAAGTCAAAGAGAGAGAGAGAGAGAGAGAGAGAGAGAGAGAGAGAGAGAGAGAGAGAGAGAGAGAGAGAGAGGGAGAGAGAGAGGGAGAGAGACAGAGAGAGAGACAAAGACAGAGACAGATACAGAGACAGAGAGACAGAGAGAGACAGGGAGAGTATGTGAAAAGTCAAAGAGAGAGAGGAGGAGAAGGAGGAGAAGAGAGAGAGAGAGAGAGAGAGAGAGAGAGAGAGAGAGAGAGAGAGAGAGAGAGAGAGAGAGAGAGAGAGAGAGAGAGGGGGGGGGGAGCTGTTTGCTCAGTCTTCGAAATGACCAAAGGCGCGAACACCTGTAGCTGCAGTTGTCTCACCCTCAAAAAGGCGTCCAATCTCAAGGATAATTTTTTATACAAATGCTCTGTGTTTGATAACAAAATACCGTTTATTTCCAATATTCAGTACTGTTGTCATATACTATATACTGAGACTATACTTTTCAGATTTGAGTAAGTAGAACCATATAAAAGGTTTGTTCTAAAAACACAGACAAACTTTAACTTCTCTATTCTCCTTCTTTGTACTCCAGACATAATTAATTTCTATTATAGTTACGGATTTAGAAAGATTTCCATCCTATGCGCCTTTTAGGGAGTACTTTGGGGTTTTTTTCTGTAGGTATGTTTGGACGTGTGTTAAATTATTATTGTTACTATTATTATATTACCTTTATTAGTGTTATCAGCTTTTTTTATTAGTGTTATCACGGTTAATGTTATTATTACTAGCACCTTTCATTGATTTACTAATTGAACCATTGCTCATGGGGGGGGGGGGGGGGGGTTTTTTTTTCTCTTTTTGATTTCATTGGGGGGGGGGGGGGGGCAGTGTTAGGGTGCTATTGTGCTTGTTTCTCTAATCATTCGTCTGTTTACATGGTTTTAAATCGTAAAGGCTTTTCAGCCAGTTTCTACTTTTCATACTTAAGTACGAGCGTATACACCCACGAACTGATCTCCTCGCCCTCTTTTCATTTCCATATGCGAGCACACATCTTGCCCAGAATAAATCCAGTAGATTATATTATTTTATTGTCTTTCTCTGTGGCAATTAGAACTATTAACTGCATATGATTATGTCTATCAACAGTAACTTGTTCTACTTCCAGATCTCGAAGGGGGCCTTTCAGAAGTCTTATACATTGAAATATAGCTGGCGCGTGTGTCGCCCTGAACCGGAAAGGACTTATTCAATTGCAGAGAAACGAGGCCTCTAACCAAAAACAATTAAATACTGTTCAGCATTTGTGTACTCACCATTGAAACTGGTGCCTGAGATAGAAACACCATTAACATGTTTTTATGGCGAGTCTCGGTTTTCACAATAAGACGAAGAAAAAGCCCAAGCTACATGTTGTCTCTAACATCTAAAGGTAACAGTGCTCGCTGACCAGACTCCACAAACCCCAGAAAGATTAAAATTTAACATTACAATAAAAACCCTTTAAAATTAAAAGACTTAAAGTTAAGTTTCGTGAGTGGTAGGTGGGTTTTCTGGTGTTATTTTTTCCGTCTTTCCTATCAAATATCTATTGTGCTTATCTCACCTCCTTCTGTTTTGTATTTGTTGCATCTCTTGTAACACCTCTACTCTTCGGCACACAGGCTACATGGCCTTATTTTGTTGCAAGTGCCGTAAAACTTACTGAAACTTAAGATTTAAATTTCCTTTGAACACGCAGGGACCGGCGTCTGTGATGTAGGGATTGGCCGCTACGCCGTCAAACGCAGAAGATCTGGGTTCGGTTTCCATATTGGAAATTTTTCTTTATTGAAATTTGGTCTTTCTGCTGGACCTTTGTGTCCATCTCAGCTTGAGTTGGTTCGAACAAGCAGGGTCAAAACCTGCCTTCTTATTGATATAGATTGCGCAAAACATCTAGTTAAAACAAACACGCACACGTACACACACACGCGCGCGCACGCACACACACACACACACACACACGCGCACACACACACACACACACACACACACACACACACACACACACACACACACACACACACACGTGTATACTATGTATATGAGTAGTAGGAGCGGGCACGAGCCGAGAAGAGTACTCGTTTCTCGCGAGAAATGCCCTTCCCGTCACTTCCCACTTCCCGGGCACTAAACTACTGCCCGGTAGGCCTATGTATGCCATTGAAAACCAAAGTTTCCCAGAATCAATAAACTTCCATCTGTTGTTGTTATTTCCATTAGCAGACAACACATTAATAAATATTTGAACAATCGTTTCCTAAGAGGACCCTTCGCTTTTTTGTGTCTGTTTTATTTGTTATTTGAAGCTAATGGGGCATTATGTCGGAAAAGACACCCCAATTCAAATATTCATCACAGCAGTTTAGACGTGGCAAAACTTTTGAGGACATGGGAAATAGCCAAAGTTATAAACCTGTTTTTGTTTATAGAATCTTGTTTCTCCGTGTGTAGTTCTGTTGTTGGAAAACATCGACCAGCTGTTGAAATGTACTTGGCCCAAATATTTGCTTTTTTTCCTTCTAAATTGCAGTTACTTTATCGGTTATATCGGTTGCATCTGCACAAGATATATTTTGTCGAAATTAAAATTCTACACCTTGACAAAAAGCAAGGGGAAAAACATAGTGTTGGTACACTCATTTGTCTTTTGTCTGTTCGTTTGTTTGTTTGTTTTTGTTTCCTCTTTCCAGCAAAATTTAGCTTTCTGGGCTTCGAACATTTGCCCAGCTTGCCGGTGAAAATCCTTGTCTCTGTGGTGAAGCTGTTACACAGTCATAGCTATCTGAGGCCTTCACCAAGTCCAGTAGTAGCCCACAGGTCCACAGATTAATGGTCTACTATCAGTGGTGGGAGGTCAGCTACGATAACAATCTCAAATGGTGTGCCTGCGCTGCGCTTCAGCCGCTACACTACAATACACCTGCGCCCGTCGTTCAGGTTGAACGTCACATCACTGTCCCACGCGGCTACGTTCCGCAACTGAGCGTTTTATGTTTGACTGAACAACAATAGAGGGGTGCATTGAAACGTAGACACATTGAAAAGTACAGATCATTGTTTTTCTTTTTGTTTTTGTTGGTAATTGGTGCGGGGGAAAGGTGACGGGGGATACGTGTTTAATACAGGCTACGTGTATAATAGTCAGCCATCTTTGTGTCGAAACAAGAAAATGAGACTCAAAAGGCACACTCTGAAGAAAAAATAGAACTTACAACCCCAAGAGCCCTTTTCTATCGTCCTCAAGAAAACATAACAAACAAACTGGAAAAGAAAACAAAAACCTGGGAATTCAAAAAAATTGGACTGCTTTGTTGTACTGGAAGAGTGGTCATACTATGAGAGACCAATCCAAACACTTTACAGAAAATCGAACTATTCGGTAAAAAGTGTAACACAGGCGTATATTCTTAAAATTTACTCAAAGATTATACCCCAAAAAAATGGTATTGCTTGAAAATGTTCTTGGGACATGTTAACAGCATAACCATAATCTTAGAATCCGAAAGGACGGGTAATAGTGAAGTCAATACAAAGACTCTGTTATAATCTATTTTCTGTCATGCTTTTTTCACCGAATGCCCGTGACTAGCAGTTATACACACACCGATACCATGCAGGAACTTAACCTTTCTCTGTTGTTGTCGTTTGTGGTTGTTGTTGTTGTCGTTGTGGTTGTCGTTGTTGTTGTTGTTGTTGTTGTCGTCGTCGTCGTCGTCGTCGTCGTCGTCGTTGTTGTTGTTGTTGTTGTTGTTGTTGTTGTTGTTGTTGTTGTTGTTGTTGTTGTTGTCGCCGCCATCATTGTCGTCGTCGTTAATTCGTGTAACCCCCCCCCCCCACAAGTCATAGCAATTTCAATGCCCTCGCATCTCTCAGGGACGCATCGGTCGTCCATGTCGTTCGTCGAAAGCTCTCTTCTCATGCGGCAATGCTGCATAATCACCTACCTGCTCGAGGCTGTGCTATTAACTTTCTTATCAGACCTTCACCTGTCACTGTTCTATTTCCATGTGTCTTTTTGTGGTATCACATACTGTAGTGCGTGAACATCCAGAGTGACGTACTGTCACAGACAGAGGCGTTGAAAACATTTTCTAAAACAACTGAAAGGAATAATAATATTCATGTAGTTTTCGGGAAGATTTTCCCAGGTGAATGTGATGTGCGATAAACTGATAAAATAAACTCGTGGATTCCCCACTTGGACTGCTCTGTGTTCTGAACCGTTTTTGAGTGACTCGTGTCGCTGAGGAAGTCAGGTATGAAACCTTCAGTCTTTCCTAGTAGGGACAGGTTGGGAGAGGGGAGGAGCTTTCCTCTCTTTGTTTCAATCCCTCTTTCTCTCTTGTTTATTACTCCTTTCATTTCTTTTTACTCTCTCCCCCCTCCCCCCCTCTCTTTCTTCCCCCCTCTATCTATCTATCTATCTATCTATCCATCTATCTACCCCTTCCCCCCTTCTCTCTCTTTCTCTCTTAAAAAGGAGAGATAGAGAGAGAAAGAGAGAGAGAGAGAGAGAGAGAGAGTGTATGTATGTGTGTGTGTGTGTGTGTGTGTGTGTGTGTGTGTGTGTGTGTGTGTGTGTGTGTGTGTGTGTGTGTGTGTATGTGTGTGTGAGAGTGTCTGTGGGTGAGTATTTGTTTGCATGTTTGTTTGCGCGTGTAAACAATCTGTTGGGCGATAATCCAGCGAACGCAAAAGTCAGTGAACGTAACCGGTCCGTTCATCAACACCAGGAACCATAAACATGACGATGGCCTCACGATCCAGCAGGTCACAGATGAAGTAACACTGCTGAAGACTGAACATTCTCTTCCACTCGAATTTCATCTTTCATTGGATTCCCTGGTTATTTATTGATAAAGAATCACGGCCACAAATTCCAGGCAATAAATGAGATAATAATAACGATGATAAAAATAAAAATAATAATAATAATAATAATAATAATAATAATAATAATAATAATATTAATATTATTAATAATAATAATAATAATAATAATAACAATAATAGTTGCATTTTTATACCGCATATCGAAGTTCTGCAATAATTAAATGATAAAACACTTATAAATAATAAAAACAATAACCTTCGCATCAACTTCAGTGGTGCCGTAACAATAAAGATTATAATAAAATATAACAGCAAAGATTAAGCAACCAAATACAATATCAAATGACATTTGAGGTTTGTTAATTTTTCGTCGACAAAGTTTCCTTTAGCGTAATATTAGACTGCATGAAGAAAAACTGGAATAAAATTATTATAACGGCTGTCTGTAACAACACAGATCTGCTTTTATTATGGTTTCTTTATCTTAATTTGCGTACAGAGAAAGAGATTATCAAATTAGTTGTTTCGTAATTCATTAAAGAAGAAAATGAGCCGTGCGAGTTTGTTTTTTTCGCTTGTTTTAACCAGATTATCAAATCAATACAAAATCTGATTAGTGTTGTCGTTCATTAGGTTATGTGTTTGGCAGACGAGGGGGGGGGGTGGATGATGATGAGTTATCTTTTCCCCACTTACAGATACCAGGAAAAGCAGAAAAGTATTATAGGGTGTCTAAAAAAGAGAAAAGAGGACTCACTTAACGGAAACTTACTCAGTCATATCTGAACTAAATTCAAGAAAACTTCAAAGAGATAAAATTCAACCTGGGGGCGTGAATATTGTAAATATGAAGAAAATCAATCGACGTGTTCAAGAAATATCAAGTTTTAAATATTTCAACCAAAATTGGGTAAAGCACAATATTTTACTTCGTAAAAGCATTCAGCAATACGGGCGTGATTAGCCCGTTCTGGTTTCAGGACAAAGACAGAAAAACCATGACAGTTACATCCGATAGACATGTCAACGTGCAGAGAAAGTTTTGGAGAAGTTTTGGGAGGAGAAGGAGTCATGTTGTTGAGGCCTGGTTCCAGTGCCATGGGGCCACACTCCAAACGTCAAGAGTGGCCCTTGTAATATGATGCTAGAAAGGTTTGGAAAGGCTTTATATATATGCAAGAAATTTACAAACGAATTCTCTCTCTCTCTCTCTCTCTCTCTCTCTCTCTCTCTCTCTCTCTCTCTCTCCCCCCCCCTTTTTCGACTTGACCCCCCTTTATGCATTACATACGTGATTTTTTTTTTGACAGACGGAGTCTACGGAAACCAACCACCACCAATCGAACAGGTAAAACTCCAGGTTGAACAGAAGGTCCAAAGATTCAACTCGAAACATGTTAGCGTTGTTCACAATTAATTTCCAGTGGCGTATTGTAGCTTGTATGGAGAGAAATTGTCAACACTTGGAGATTTAAATAACTACCACATTCCCTGAGTTTATATCAATTTTGTATAAAGTTGTTCTTAAAGGCATAAATAGTGTTCATTTGAAATAGAATATTAATATGGTTGATTTTTAAGTAGTTGCAAAGTTTTTGTCTTTCATTCAGTTCCGGTCGAATTTATAAGAACTAGATACCTTTTTAACGTATAGGTAGATTGTATCCATATTGACAAATGTAACGTCCTCCAAGAGGGATATTATTTTTCCAAAGTTTTATTGAAATTGGTCTAAAGATTACCGCATTATTACCAATTGAATGGGTCCTTCTTTCATTTTAGACACCCGGTAAAACTGAAGTTACACCTTTGGAGATTTTGACTTTAGCTCTCATTACAAATAAATGGATGTTTTGCAACCGATAACTTTCCCCTTATATTACATATTCCCAGCATTAAAAACGACCTTTATTCTTACAATCAAAGCTGTAGTTAGCAATGTTTCAACAGGTGTGTTTTATCCCATTACGACAAGTGTCTTCAGGAACGTCAACAGAGGTATTTTATTACAAATGCGTAGCATGGTGAACTTGATTAACAGGTCTCCATGTTGCCGTAATGCACTAGCAGGAAAACTTATGAAGACTAACATCACATCCCTACTCCCATTTGTGTCGACCCCCCCCCCCAAAAAAAAACCCAAAACCCAAACAAACAAACAAAACAAACCAAAAAAAACCCAAACAAACAAAGGAAAACAAATAATTTAAAAAATAAATAAATGAAATAATTTAATTAATTAATTAATAAATAAATGAATAAATAAATAAACAAATAAATAGATTTTCCATCCCCCAATTTCCTTTTCCCATCTGGGGTAGTAAGTGCTGTTGATTATTCTTTTGCGCGATCAAAATATAGAACTGAAAGCATAATGAAACCAGCAGTATAGAGTATAGAGCCTTGTGTCAGGTGTATGTAAAATGGCGTCCAAAAGAAACTTGAAAACGTAATCACCCAATCATCGTGTTATTGCCTCGCACTACCCATTCATGTAGCATATCAATAAATTAAAGTAAAAAAAATTCTGCATCATTTGACTCCTTAATGATTTATCTATATTTAGACACGCCCGAGATATGGCCAATCAAAAATTGACCTTCTAAAATAATGCTTGGCAAAATTGTGCGAAATCAAAGAAGCGTAAAACTGTGTTCGCGTGTGTATTGAGGTGCATCAACATAGGTGGAATGGACCTGTATGAATATCAAATGAAAAGAAAATATTATTGTCTCTGCAACGAACAGCATTTTCTGATGATATATTCAAGCAGACTGGAGAACAGAGCAGTCACAAATACCACGCAAAACCTGGACTTAACATTAGGAGGTTCATGTGCTCATTAGTATACTTTCATTTTTGTTTAAGAGCTATTGGTTTCATGTAGTGCACGGAACTATTTTTGCACATGGACTGTGTTAGTAAGACTTTGGACATAATCATTTGTCAATGAGGAACAGAGGCTACGAAACTGTCATGGCTATGGGAGATCTAATGTGGAATAAACAAAACCGCTTGGTTTAGTTGACTACATCGCACAAGTGCTGGGAACGTCATGTCTTACTCTGATTTTCGTCATGGTGTCATTCAAGTAAACGTCTCCATGCAGAGCAAAGCACTTTCTCACAAGGCCAATGCCACTAGACAATTCTTGGAAAACCAAATTATATCAAAGTTGAAGTGGTCACCAGTAAATAGCCCCGATATGAATCCTACAGGTGTGTGAAGTCCCATGAAACAGCAGCTGAAGAAAAGTGACTTTGTCCATATTTCAGATCTTTTGTTTGCAGCTCTCTGTGACATTTGAGATGAAATGACAGATAATTATGTCTAACATTTAATAGAGTCGACGCCCAAAGGGTTCGTGCCCTACGCAAAATCAATAGCTCCTAAGCAAAATAACAAGAAACACATTTGATGTTTAGTCCCAGTTTTGCGTGACATCTATTTGCGATTGCTCTGTTTTCCGTTTTGTTTGAAACTATTGTAATAAAAAAATTGTTTTCTGCAAAAACAACATTCTCCATTCCTTGGATATGCAATGTAATGTCCATCCTGTCAATATCGATGCTCCTCAATAATCGGGTGAAGACAATTTTCAGTTTATTTGATTTCGCACAATTTTGCAAAGCCTGATTTTTTTAAGGTCTGTTTTGAGTGACCGTATCTTGGGCGTCTCTAAATATAATATATGAAATGTTAATGTGTCAAATGATGCAGAATTTCTTTAGCTTTAAATTTATATGCTGCCTGAGTGGGTAGTGCAAGGCAATAACACGATGATTGGGTGGTTACATTTTCAAGTTTCTTTTGGACGCCACTGTATGACGGGTTATGACCAGTTATGTTTTTGAAAAAATTAATACACAATGATATTTATTATGTTGTTTATCCCTTTCATCTCTCATACAGAAAGCACTCACTTTACAATTCCCCAAAGTATAATTCTGCTGGTTTCGCAGAATGTTTTATATTCCGACGAAAAATGTCGAACGTCCCGAGTGCACGTTGCGCACGTAAAAATCCCTTGGTGGTTGATAATAGTAGGAGAGCAGGCCGTCAAGCTGTCACCAGGACATCTTAAATCAAAATTTCCAACCACACCTGAAAGATAGTAAGACACATCATTTACAGCTCCCTTGATTCCTAAGATATTGACGATGTCTTTATTCTGAAACATGACATTGTCAAGGAAGTCAAAATATGAAAGGAGAGAAGTAATACTTGGGCAATCTACTCTCTCTGTCTACCGCCCAGACAAAACTGTATCATCCATACTGCTTTAAGATCGTAAAGACGCAGAAAACCATAAGTTCATACCTCCATATTATACAAACAGAAGAGAAATGAGAACAAGGC